AACCACAGCCAATTTGGGGCGGTGGCTCGGGTCCCGGTCGAGGAGGCGTGCCATAAATGGCGCATCAAAAAGGAACTATTTCAGCCTGCCTCTCAGTCCACCTGGTCAGTCACTCCACAAAACACAACACACAAGCTGGACTGACTGCTTGGTCCGAGCTACCCCTTCAGTTGGCAACCCTTCAAGCCACGGCTTTTAGGCGCACCGAGAGATAATTTCAAGTGCTTCAGGTTGTTTGTAGTGAGGAAACAGGGCTGAACCGTCGACCCCCCCTCCACCTCCAGCACCAGGCCATCGTCCGAGCCAGTCAGTTGTGTGATGCGGGGTGCACACACTTCAGCGATCGGCAAAGCGTCAGAAATCACTCACGTAACAAATGTGCCACTCAAGTAACAACGGAAGAAACATCTCATGCATGAATTAACACATCTCACCAGTGTGAAAACTTTGCGTTTGTTGAAGTCAGATCACATGCGGTGGACAACTAGCACGTACGAGGCACGTCCACCACTACGCTTAGTCCTGTAGTCGGTAGACTGACAGACACACCTGGCGCATTGAAGCAGGATGAATGAAGTCAATCAAACATGGACTTTACGCTTGATTTTTCCCCCTGAACAAGAAAACACGCTCAGAGTAGTCACAGAGCTCTAATTGTGGTGAATTTAGACGATAATAAATGTCTGGACTGTTCTCATTTTTCCCATTACTAGGGATAAGTTTGAAATGGCGTCTTCTTGTTAAAGGGACGTTTAGGACATTCTCCTATGTGTGAGATCTGGGAGCTTGTCATTTATATCCTGAAAGTGCAGAACTGGGGATACGGTCATGTATGGCAAGAACGGGCAGGCTGGTTAGTTTTGTCATCGGTTGCTATCCCCTTGTAAGGATGAGTTATATGGCTGTCTAAAGAGGACGCAAGAATAGGAACGTTCTGCTCACTTAAAATAGGTGTCATTGACATGAATTTCAGAAAGGTTAAATATACCCGTTCCTTAGCCCTGAGATAGAAGTAAACTGCTTATCCTAGCCCTTCACTAATCCTAAACCTTACCGTTAACACTAACCTAAATTTTAATCCCTAACATACTTCTAGCCCTAGCCCAGGGGTTGACAAGCTTTTTGACTCAGAGAGACAAGAAAGCGAATATTTGGAAATATATTTCAGTGGGAGCTATTTAATATATTTTAATATTGAATTCCATTAAATGTGAGTATAATAGGCCTCTGGATTTATTCTTTTAAATATTGTTCTTATAATACTCATTGCTAATGCGACTTCTGGTGCTACATGAATTCGCTGATGGCTTTGTAGTCTAGTTGATATTTGATGAAGTTAAGCTTCATGCAAGCGTTGAGACTTTCATCCGTTTGATGTGATCGTAGGATGGAATTGATGTAGTTAAGATGTGAGAATGACTTCTCACATGTTTACGCAGATCCAAACAAGATCAATAAAGCAATACACACACGCTGCAGTGTGTGGTATATGAAAGGAAGCTTGTTTCAAGTTTTTATTATCAGCTGGTCTTCGGGTTGAAGTTTTTTTAATTTCCGTCCACATGAACTTGCTTGCCAACTCCGCTTTATATCGTGCGATTCTTTCCAAATCTTTATTGAGTGGTTCGAACTTATTCACCCACATATCTGAGGCCTTCAGGTCAGCCAATTCTTCTTCGAAATCTCCAACGGAGACACTAAGAATATAACTTGGGTCGGCTGTGTTCAGTGAACACTCAGTTGGCTGGGTGATGAACGTAAAAAGACGAGTTTGCTCCCGAAATTCTCCTAAGCACGATTGAACGACTGTAGCAGACTGGATATGAAGCAAACTTACAGGTGGACAACAAAGTTTTAAATGGGCTCACTAGCTGTGCATGCAGCTGTATATTGTCTCAGTTTTTCAAAATTTAGTGAACGATGTGCTTCAAGCTTCATGATAAAGAGCTCCAGTTTGTTTTCGAAAGCAAACTCGGCTTGTTGAAGGGATAACACTGTATTTCAATTGCCTTGCATTTTAACCTTGAGCTGTTTCAGATTTTCGGTCATAGCTACGGGATAATAAAAAATGAGGAGCCACTCAGTTTCGGCTAGCTCACGATGCTCAATGCTTTTCATTTCAAGGAAAGTCCGGGTTTCGTTCAGGCAAGCCGCAAAACGGCTAAGCACCTTCCCTCTTGACAACTAACGATCATTACTGTGCAAAAGCGGACCGCGATAGTTATTTCCAACTTAATCTAGCAGTATTTTAAATTGTCGATCATGTAAGGTTCGGGCAACGATAAAGCTGATCACACGAATGACCAGCGACAGCACTTCGTCAAGCTACACGTCATACATCTGAGCACAAAGAGCCTCCTGGTGTAGAATCCAATGGAAACGCAGGATGAGTCTATTTTCATGTTCAAAAACAAGCGCCACAAATCCACAAAGTTTATCCATGGGTAGTTTTTTTTGAGCTAACTCCATGAAAGATTTTAATAAATTCTCACCTCTTGTGGACCCTTTTATTGGCAGAACAGCAAGACTTACTTTGCGCAGTGTATCAACAGCAGCATATCTTGCAATCACACTGAACTGCGCCAAATGGCTAGCTTCTCTTGAGTCATCCAATGCCAGGGAAAAGAACGGTGATGCTTTTATGGCTTTCAATTGCGTTTCCTCCACGTGGTTTGCCATCAAGATGGTACGCTCATTATCAGCTTTTGCCAACAGAGGCATGTCTCGTGTCCGTTTGATTATCTCGTTTTTGTTCGGAGGATCATCAAAAGTTTATTGGCTACATCCAGCATGAGCGTTATAGCATACTCGTCATCTGTGAATGGTTTTCCGTTCCTTACTATAGCTAAAGATCCAGCAAAGCTAGCGGAGCTATAGTCACCTTGCCGGGTTCATATGCGGAGTTGCTTCTAACTGGTTTGCATCCTGATCGTTAGCTCCTGGCATGCTTTCTTTCGGCTATCTCCCGCAGTGTATTTTGACGCAAAGGTATCATGACGTGTGTTTACATTCAACCGTTTCATCGATGTAATCTTGTCATTGCAAATATGACACCGCATATACTGCTCTCTCCACGAAGGCAGATTCTTCGGCC